TATATATATATTAGTAATGAAAAATTTTAAATTAATAAAATCTTATTTATCACAATAAAGAATAAGAGAATTAGTGATGTAGACAATTGAAAAAAAATCTCATTTACAAATATCACTTTAAACCTTAAATTTTCTTGAATCACCCCTCCACGAACTTTTTGTTTTGTTTTGTTTTTTTTTTTTTCCCCTAAAAACTATAGTCATTTCGGAAGTCCATTCGCGTGTGAAACCTAGATAAAAGAAATTGCAACAATAACATAAGAACTTTCATGTGGAGTCCATGTGATGGACCCTACCATCAGCCACTTTGTAAGAAAGAAAAAATCGTCAATTAAAGGTTGAACTCAATCAAATAAAGAATTAAAAAAATAAAGGAAAATTACAATTAAAAACAATTAGCGAANAGTGCAGTGAAACAAAAACAATAAAAACAAAACTCTTCTTTCTCTCTCTCACACACACACTCTTTNAATGCAGTAAAACAAAAACAATAAAAACAAAACTCTTCTTTCTCTCTCTCACACACACACTCTTTTACATCTCCAATTAAACACAAACAAAACTCTCTCTCTCTGTCTCTCTCACACACACACGCGCGCGCGCACAAATTTTCATCTTAAATCATACACTAAATCAAATCTACATAATATAACCCACTTAATTTTGCAAACTTTGATCAAGAAATAACTAAAATATCAAATTTTAATGTTGCAAATAACCGGGACAAGTCAAACTGTATTGTTTTTATATTTTTTGTAATTTTAAGCTTATGTTGTATACTGTAATTATATATACCATATGGTTATTTAAAACTAATTTGTTGATTATGTAGTATAAATGTGACAAATAGAAAATAAATCATCTAGATATGAAAAATCTTTCTAGAAAATGAGAAAATTTAAAAATAATTGAATCTCAAAATGATATCTTTATTCCTACTACCAAACAAACGTCATAGAAAAATAAGGTAAAGTCGTATAAATAAACAATTAATAGATCTCAAAGAATAAAAAATAATAAAATAGTAAAACAAAATAATAATAAAAAATATTCACGATGAGAGTTAAACATGCAAAACAACTATCATGAATGTAATATATATATATATATATATATATATATTAGTAATGAAAAATTTTAAATTAATAAAATCTTATTTATCACAATAAAGAATAAGAGAATTAGTGATGTAGACAATTGAAAAAAAATCTCATTTACAAATATCACTTTAAACCTTAAATTTTCTTGAATCACCCCTCCACGAACTTTTTGTTTTGTTTTGTTTTTTTTTTTTTCCCCTAAAAACTATAGTCATTTCGGAAGTCCATTCGCGTGTGAAACCTAGATAAAAGAAATTGCAACAATAACATAAGAACTTTCATGTGGAGTCCATGTGATGGACCCTACCATCAGCCACTTTGTAAGAAAGAAAAAATCGTCAATTAAAGGTTGAACTCAATCAAATAAAGAATTAAAAAAATAAAGGAAAATTACAATTAAAAACAATTAGCGAAATAATTATTCATGAAGGAAGGCTATTTGAAAATTCAAATGACCAAATAATATAAATAAATCAAAACCAATCAATTTAGATAAACTATCCGATTATTACATATACTAGGGGTAATCGTATCTGAAATTACAGTGCAATATGAATGATTTTGAGAGAGATGTTGGTGACCGTTGGATAAACCTATTTGAAACTGTAAAATAATTTATTGAAATCTATCCTGATTTATATTATAGATATGACCAAAATTGATGTAAAAATTTCTAAATGTGATTTATTCCAAAATATATGGTTTTCTTTAGCAACAACTTTATTGTCTAAGATATCTAACTAGAAAAAGAAATTCTTACTATATATATATCCTATAGACAGAAGGGGGAAGAGGATAGAGGACTGAATCATTCATGTGATTTTTTTTTCAAGGTGTTAGGTAAATAAAAGTGCCCAAAAATAACTTAAATAGATTTTTATTGGTGGGCTTATGAAACTTTTGATTGCACCTGTTATTTTTATTGAGAACAAATTTAGTTACGTTAGCATCACGATCAATCACCGAACCCCAATATGAACTTTAAGATTTGATTCTCGATGTGAGAGAGTAGTGAAATTTTGGTGAGAAATATAAAAAATAGAATGAATTTCCAATTAATTAATTGCATGAGTAATTCAAGTAGTAACAGAGACAAAATGTAAATTCAAATGTCCTGAGTTTGAATATTAACGATTTTTTGGGGCCACCTCATGAGATGTAATTCTCCTATGAATATCATAGTTTTGGCGTGAATGATCTATCTTTGACTGAATTCAAAAAAAAATTGATCAAAGTTAGCATAAACTAAGTCGGATAACCCCTCACTGTGAACCAAAACAAAAATTTAGATTAATTACAAACGTTGTTGTGCTTATCGGAGCTGTACATTAAAAAAACGATATGTTTTGTGTCTCATTTGGTATGAAAAACCAAGTTTTTCAGTGGGTCCAACGTTTTAATGTTTCACGTCCCTGCTTCTTTGTCTTCATCGATCGAGTGGGAAGAAGAGAGCCATAATTGTCCTGGTGAACAGTGGATAAATAGGAGCTTGTTTGGATATTTGAATGCAAGAGCCAAGCATTGTCAAATCCTCAAAGAAAAAGACAGTCAAACCCTAACTAGTGGTGTTGCAGAAGCCACCCTGACCCCAAGGTTTCGCTGTTGTACTGAAAATTGTGCCATTTCTATGGGTGAGCTTGCTTGATTTACATGGTCATATAAAATGGAATCTAAACCCAAAAGGAAAGAACAAAAAAAAAAAAAAGAAGCAGTGGTCAATTCTTTTGTTCATCCAGGGTTATCATAATCGGATTGGTTGGATAGTGAATTGGGACCTCAACCGGTCTGGTTCTTGAATTGGACCGCCTAAACAATTAAATCAGAGTAAAACGGCCGATTTTTGACAAAAATCGTGAACTGTTGCCATTTTTGTAAAATGCCCAAAATTTTTGCCATTTCTGTAAAATGCCCAAAATTTCTAATTTTACCCCAAATCCCGTTGGCCCCTTTTTCCTCCACTCCATTTCTTTCTCTCTCTCTCTACGATCCATTCGATCGCTACCTCCGATCCATCCGATCTCAGCACCCACTGAAAATTCTATCTATCCTCTCCACTTGAGTCTTCTCTCTCGGTTTATGATTTGTCTGTGTGTAAATTGTTGGCTTGTTGTTGAGCGAACATACATCATCTTTGGGGAGTCGCAATGAGGAGACTGATTGGTTTCATCCTATCTTCAGTGTTCTTGTGTTCCTGTCTTCGATGTCCAGTAGTGATTGATTTCATGAGGAGGTGAGCTGGTTTCATGAGGAGGCTGCTATGTGTGGATCGTTAATATTCTATTAGATTTTATAAATTGTTTAAGAAAAGAAGTGATTTGTGATTTTTTTTGTGTTCTTAATTTCTTATTTGATCCATTACAGTCTACAAATATTTTTTTTGAAAAAATTGAAAAATTTTAATATATTCATCATTATTAATAATATTTATTATTTTTTTTATTATACAATTGGTCCAATCAATTAACCTAATGATTGAACCGATAAATCATTGATCCGATCCCATTATAGGTTCAATGTCCGATTCTGATAACTATACAGTTCATCCACGACTATTCTCATTGCTTGTAAGTAGCATATATATGTCACTACCATTTTAGTGTCTTATTGTTATAAGTACAGCTGTTAAATGAGGCCAACGAATTCTAGTGTCTTATAACTACCGGTGATAAAAGAATAATGTTAACTTAAAAATTAGATTTGATAATCACAATCATTGAATATGTAGTGGATCCCAATAAATGCTAGGACTTATAATAAAAATAATGATTATAATTATCAAATATATTTTTTAAGTCCATATAACATTATTCGGTGATAAATGAGCCCAACAATTGAGTTCTAATCTGAGTTTGACAACTTTATTTTCTTAAATGAGCTTAAAAAAGTGTTAAAATTCGGTTTGTTTTTAAAATAAGAGTACGAGTTGAGTTCAAAATAAATCGGGCCCGAATAACTCAATTACTGCATATATAAACGAGTTAAATTTTACGAAGTCAAATTCAAAACAAACCAAGCTTATATGGATCTTTTTTAAATAAGTTTAAAAAGTTGTTTGAATTTGATTCATTTTCTAAACAAACGAGCTTGGGTCGAGCTAAATTTAAACCGAGACCGAGTAACTCGAATCGTTTATCACCCCTATTTATAAGCACTCGATATTTTNTCTCTTATAGTTATAAGTACAGCTGTTAAATGAGGCCAACGAATTCTAGTGTCTTATAACTACCGGTGATAAAGAATAATGTTAACTTAAAAATTAGATTTGATAATCACAATCATTGAATAGGCAGTGGATCCCAATAAATGCTGTGACTTATAATAAAAATAATGATTATAATTATCAAATATATTTTTTAAGTCCATATAGCATTGTTCGGTGATAAATGAGCCCAACAATTGAGTTCTAATCTGAGTTTGACAACTTTATTTTCTTAAATGAGCTTAAAAAAGTGTTAAAATTCGGTTTGTTTTTAAAATAAGAGTACGAGTTGAGTTCAAAATAAATCGGGCCCAAATAACTCAATTACTGCATATATAAACGAGTTAAATTTTACGAAGTCAAATTCAAAACAAACCAAGCTTATATGGATTTTTTTTTAAATCAGTTTAAAAAATTGTTTGAATTTGATTCATTTTCTAAACAAACGAGCTTGGGTCGAGCTAAATTTAAATCGAGACCGAGTAACTCGAATCGTTTATCACCCCTATTTATAAGCACTCGATATTTTNACATCCTTTCATATGTAAATCGAAATCCTGTACTCGTTTTCTCTTCAATATTAATCCCACTAACTAGGGTTCTAATATAATTCTCGTGCTATATTTAACTCTAATAATTAAGCAAGTAAAGGGAGGAAGATTACAAATGTCTCTCCTTAGCAAATTATAACTATATGAACATTAGGGCATGTACAACTTGTTGCCACATTTGCACCTCCAAGCTTCTGGATAATACTCCGCTGTCACCGGCGTGCCGGGCGGCACCGGCACATGAACTGGCTTGCACGGCGTGCATCGGCCGCATTTCGACGTGCACCGTGGCGGCCATGATCCCGGTCCGCTCAAAAGCCTCCTTGTCCTAATCTTGGCTGGGCTTATTGAGACTCCTCTCTTGATCTCTTCACCATTCATTTTCTCCAAGGTTTTCTCAAACTCCTGTACCATAGCACACACACATTGTTATTAATTAGCCAAAAAAACCCATAATTAATGGAAGTTAATTTATTCTACACCCAAACATAGATCGTGTGCAATGACGAGTATAATAATGTGGGAATAAGTCTATGGAACTGCAATTTAACTTTTCAATACTATGATGTTGAAGAGTAATTTTTCAGTACCATATAATCAAGCGGATGTAAAATAGAAAAATGACTGAGACTAACATAAAGATAGATATGTATGAATGAGTAAGCAACTAAGCATGCTTACCCGGATGTGAAAAACAGCTTTACCAGTCACTGGGCACCTGATATCTGCTAAGAAAGAGGCCAAACAGTGTTATAAGAGACAAATTGGATAATGTATAAAAGGTGTTGGGAAGAAAAAAAATAGAAAGGTAAATTAATCTGTCATTATAATGGAGATGGGTCATGGAATTTAGAAAGTGAAAGAAAAACAAAAGAAGTTATTGCTTGCTTACCTAGAAAAGGAGGGTTGGAATTGATTTTGCTGCGAAGTAGTGCACAGATAGAGAAGATGAAGAAGAAGAAGAAGAAGATGGAAATAGAGTAAAAGAGAGCCATTTTGTTGATAANGCGCACAGATAGAGAAGAAGAAGAAGAAGAAGATGGAAATAGAGTAAAAGAGAGCCATTTTGTTGATAAACTTGAGTCTCGGAGTCTTTCTGTACTCCATTAAGAGCAACAGTCAACACTCAACAGACCCCTTGATGAAGAGAAAATTAACAAGATTGGCTTCTGAGTTCTGAACTTCTGAATAGTTAACTGATTCTCTCTCTCTTCCGTACAACCGCTATCTAAAGATCAAATTCTGAAGTTTTAGAGTGACCAATGCACACTGAGTCCAGTTTCTCACGTCCTATACAATTATTGTCACACCTAAACTAATCTTCTACAACTCTCCCTCTCTCTCTGTAGACTAGGAAATAGGAAATCTATAAAGTGGGGGTGGTTCGATGGTGTTCAGAAAAGTGGAAAGAAGGGACTGCTAATCCAGATGGGTAGAGAGCAGAAGCACCACAGAGAGAGAGAGAGAGAGAGAGAGAGAGAGATAGAGAGAAGGCGTAAGAGGGGTGTGGATGAATACAAGCAGATCGTGGGTTCCTCTGTCTTGCCATGTTTGGTCCTCAGATTCTCAAACAGGCTTTCCCCACTGGCTTTCTACAATCCCAAACACAGTAACGCCCCCCAACTGCTCCCCCCTTCATCTTGCAAAAACAAACCAGCCTTCTCTTTTTTTTTTTTCCAGCGTTCAGGTGTCTGGACTGATTTACACACATATNTCTTTTTTGTTTTTTTTTTCAGCGTTCATATGTCTGGACTGATTTACACACATATCGACTAATCTCTTTCTTAAACTGTTCAAAAACAAGTCATTCATATTGGGATTAGAATATTCATCCCTCATGACCTGATATTAAAAAATTGTCAAGATTCAAATTTAAAGTATCTGAATTTATAGCTCATCTTAGTTATAACTTCAACTATCTTATGAATTTCTCTATCTTTTTTAGCCCTAAAATATATTTATTCAATTCTATCCGTGAAGAGTACATATACACATACTCTTGAANGTAACGCCCCCCAACTGCTCCCCCCTTCATCTTGCAAAAACAAACCAGCCTTCTCTTTTTTTTTTTTCCAGCGTTCAGGTGTCTGGACTGATTTACACACATATCGACTAATCTCTTTCTTAAACTGTTCAAAAACAAGTCATTCATGTTGGGATTAAAATATTCATCCCTCATGACTTGACTTTAAAAAATTGTCAAGATCCAAATTTAAAGTATCTGAATTTATAGCTCATCTTAGTTACAACTTCAACTATCTTATGAATTTCTCTATCTTTTTTAGCCCAAAAATATATTTATTCAATTCTATCCGTGAAGAGTACATATACACATACTCTTGAACTGTTATACTAATTATATCCTAAAGATCTGCTACAAGATGAGTCCATTACTAACACTGCCAGTACTAATCATTTTTCTCAAACCAGGCTTGTGAAGTAAGAGTTGTATAATGCTATATAATGCTATAAGGACAGAAAAATGAGGCCATAAGTAAGAACAAAACGAACAGTGATACGTTTTTTCTTTCTCACATGAAATTAATGTTGGACTTCGTGTAAAACCACTTCCCTATATACGAGAGGATAAATTTGAGGACGACGCCTCCAAGGAGTATAAAGACCGGCCTATGGTATATTCGAGCTTTTGAACTTAATTAGCCATGTCTTTACGCAGCACCCTTGGCCAAGCTACCATGTTGAATCGAATTTCGCCCTCTGAAAATCAGCCAAAATTCATGATAGGTGAGAAATATATACTAGGTTTTGCACCTTCCTTGTGAATGCATTTAGTAGAGCACATTCTCTTCTACACGTGATCACAGCGGTAGACAGTAGACTGGAATGTGGCCTAAGTGGATGATTTAAGACTTATGCTCTGATAATGAAAAGACTTGACTACCGTATCAAAAAAAAAAAATCGGTATTGTACTATATTATTTATCACTTTTGTGTACGTTTTTATCATTTTTATAGTTATTTTTTATCACAAAAAGCAATTCGATACATATTATTATTTTTTTTTATAATGGACTGGGGCAAAGTTATTCCGATTAGAAAGATCAATTTTTTTTACCTGGTCTATCACTTCTTGGATTCCAAAGTCAAGGAGGTCCAGACAAAAGCGTATGACTAAAAATATGGCCCTATGTTCTGTACGAGATCACTGGTTTTCAAGCTGTGCCTGAACAGTTTACGGAAAGAAAACAATTATAATCAAAGCACTGTTTGGGTATAACCTTTTTTCATTGCTTCAATTCATATTACTACCCAAATTTAGTAGATGATTTCATGCATACTGCAACAAAATAATAAAAACCCAGGCAGTCACTCCCTTTGGATTCCTAATACTATGATAACTTAATAATAACTTTATGTATAGTGTCTCGACATAAAAAAGATAAGATTATATGCATTTTGAAACTCTTCAAATCTTGCAATCACGAGAATCTTGATAGTCCTGCTATCACTCTTTTAGTAAGGGTGGAAATGTCTCTTAAGCAATGATCAATTTGTCATTAACCACAAACAAACATACGTGTCAATCAAAAAATGTTAGGATGAATGCTTTTACTAACCGATGACAACAATTCTCTAAATGTGCTAAAAAAAAGGCCAACTGATAGAACTTTTTGAGTGAGAGGTTAATCTTCTTTTGTTTAACTTATTTAAGGGAAAGGAAAAAGAAAATATGAGATCATACATAGAAAATTAATGTTGACATTGGATTGAAAAAACGTCTTTCAATGCCTTGATTCACCCACCAATATGAAGGTGGGAGATCGGCCGAAACAGTGATCTCATACTTTGCCTAATCAAAGATGGGTCTTCTAGTTGATCATTTGTTTCGAAAGGACTTAACTACAAACCATCCATTCTTAATCTCAGATTTGCGATGCCAAAATAACATGATTGCTACATAAATTTAATATAAGTACAATTACTAGAAAACTGTGAATTTCGAATCAATTTAGGCGTCTCTTGTAAAGTTAAAACTTAAAGATTATTGAAATTAATCATTGAAAACACATACACATTATAGCGATGAACTTTATTATAGCCTAGCAATCAATCTCTTTCTCTCTGCTGTTGGGAAGCAATGAAATAAGGCAGGGTAAAACGCAAATGAAAAAAAAATTGTCTCTACCATGCAAGTGTAACATCAATGGTCAAAAAGAGTACAAGTAGCAAGAAATAAGGATTTTCTTATGGGGATGTTTCTCAAAGAACATCACCATCAATGTTTCTATTCTGTTGCCCTTTGTGCCTAAAGCATTGAAAGCTTTGTAAGCGTGAGGATGTGCCCATGCTGTATCTATATACGTGAATGTGGGGTTAAGTAGCACAGTCTTTACCTTACACCTTGTTCCTTTGCACTTGTTTTCACATGTAGGTTCTCAATTCCCTTCCAGTTTGCTCCTTACCTACTACCCTTGCCCTTAGACAAGTTCAGCCCTTGTCTCCCATGTATCTCTATCATCTAATCTAATCAGATTCGAATTGATTTAAATTTCAATCCAATTTAAAAGTGTTAAAATTTTTTATTAGTACAAAATTTTAGCAAATAATATCTTAATTTTGACTAAATTTAATAAATAATTACTTAATTTTATTATATATACATAAACGTGTATCATTCGGGTCAAAAATTTGGTATAATGGATTTAAATAGAGATTAAATTTGAATTAGAATCAATAAAAATTTGGAATTGAGTGCTGCCCCACTTGAGCTTAGGGTGTGATAGTGATATGGGAAATACAAGGGTCACATGTGCTGGCAGCTATCAGCCCTGCTGCAGAGTCTCAGTCCTATTGAATCAATTATTTAATCCCAACAAAGCTGACAACCAATTGTGACTCTGATGGATGAGACTTGCTATGCTCCCAAACATAATTTTATGCTTAACGGATTAAGGGCAGCAGACTGCAGTAATAATAAACAAAATATTTAGTGTTGTATCTCCCATACGTGGCCTAACGCTGTTAATCAAAAGGAACTATTCAAGTTTGTTTTGGGTTCGACATGAATTTGATTCGTTNTATTGTATCTCCCATTTGTGGCCTAACGCTGTTAATCAAAATGAACTATTCGAGTTTGTTTTGGGTTCGACTTGAATTTGATTCGTTCAGGCTTGGATCGTTTTCTAAACGAGCCTAAATTTGAATAAGTTGTTAGATTCATTTAAAAAATAAGTCTTACAATCTAAGCTCAAACTCAACAAGTTCGGCTCGTTTCTATGCAAATATTCGGGCTCGACTCGGGTTCGGTTCGTTCAGGCTCAACTTATTTCTTAAACAAATCGAACTTGAACAATCTTTAAACCTCAATTAAAAAACAAAATTTTCAAGTTCGATTCAAATTCAATTCGGGTTCGTTCGACTAACAGTCTTGCATGGGCCGATAATCTGGTTAGTTGCTGAGGCCTATTAATTATTAAATACCATAAAACGCATTCGGGTCCATTAATGTACCATTACCATCAATTGGTCAAACTTTCTCACTTAGTGTCCCACGTTTGAGTCAAACTGATCTGGTACACACAATTCATGTGTACTTAAGACCAAGTTATATAACTTTAACTTAGCCCCCCGCCCCCTCCCAAAACCCCCAACCCAAAAAAAAAAGTACTAAATTAAATATATCAAGTGTTTTACTTACCCAAAAAGCCCCTGAGAATTCCTGACTTGAAGATATGTTACTGTCACTAGTAGACATGGAGTGCCATGGGAACAACCGAACAATAGGCAGGTGAGAGAGAGCATGCGTGACCTTTCAAATAGATAGATAAATGTCATGGTCACATGTTTCCTTTTCTACGTGTCTGTCTGTAGGAGTTGTTTACAGTATCCCAAAAAAAAAATTAGTATGGTACTCATTTTTATCTTGTTGGTATTTTTATTAAATTTGTAGGTGTTTTTGTTATGGCTATGATACTAAAAAAATTCATAAAAATAATTATTACAACAGTGATAAAAATATTCACAAATATGATAAATCAACTATAAAAATGTTTACTTTTTTTGTAACAAAAAAAGTGGTATATAAAAATAGTTACCACAATCATGGTAAAAAAATCTCACATGTGATAAATCATGAATAAAAATGATAAATTTTTAATTATAAAATAACCCAAAAAAAATATAAAAGTACCCATTAAAATAGTAAAACGTGGAGATGCACCATTGTCAAATCCCTCGTCCAGTTATCTTCATTCATGTCACTACATCCCTTGTTGCATAATCGACCGAGTCTAAAACGATTAGGTCAAAGTCGTATTTAATTTAATATTTTTTGTGTTATTATTTAAATTTTTATACAAATTTCAAGTCTTATCTGATTTGGATTTGATTCTCACCCTTTGGCCATGTTCAATTTTTTCTTCTATTTATGATTTCACTTGTATTGCTTAGCACTATTTTGTGACATCACGATTAATGCATCCCACTGTGCTTCGAATAGATGATTGAAATAAAAATTTTGAATATACTAATGTTTATGTCTCTTCCTCTCTCACCCCCCCCCCNAGAGCTTCTGAGAAAGCTCACAGGTAAAATTTTAGAAATGTCTCAATTTTGAGGAAGGTGTGATTGAGATTGACCATGATTTTTTAATTAAGAGATAGAATCTCACTAATTAAAAAAAAGAGTTTTAAATTATAATATAAAATTTTGATAGTATTATTTAGGCATAATTTATTATAATTATTGAATTAATAACAAGTCTTAATGTTAAATGAGATTCATTGTCAAGCGAATAATTGATAACTATTCTATTCACTAACAATTATTTATTTAAATTTATGTTAAAAATAACTTTTACTTTTTTTCTATAATTCTCAATGATTTTTTGCACTTTATTTCAATTTTTTCATTTTGTACTTTTAAAAATTAAATCTTTTACATTGGGTCATCAATATATAAAAAGTGTTGCAATGTAACTCTTCTATTTACTTTTGTTATTTTTTCCATAAAAAACCAATCTATCGACATTAACAAAAAAACTAATGAAAAACTAACAGAAAGATAACATTTTAACACTTTTGATGTGTTGAGTATATAATATAAAAAATAATAATTTTTAAAATTATATTATAAAAAAATTTAATTCTTGAGAATATAAAATAAAAAAATTTAAAATATTTCAATATGCAAAATATAATTGGCCCTAATTCCTAACTTCTCAAATAACAGATACAAATAAAGAAGAAAATAACAAAAAAAAATGAAAACAAAATCAAAATCTACAGCTTCAAATAAAATTTATATTTTTTTTACATATTATAATTTTTTTTAATCAATTTGAATCAAATTTTAATCAACTCGTATTGAATTTTAATCGGTCCAAATTTGACAAGTAAAAAAATATAAATTTTAATCCACACAAATTTCAATATATAAAAAATAAATTTTAATTAAATTAAATCGAATTTTAATTAGCACGGATCCTAATAAATAAAAAAATAAAAATTTTAATCAACTCAAATTTTAATATGTAAAAAAGGAATTTTAATATGTTCAAATTTTAATACATAAAAAAAGTAAAATTTAAGTAGCTCAAATCAAATTTTAATCAAGTCAAATTTTAATATGTAAAAAAAATTAATCAGCTCAAATTTTTATATGTAAAAAATTAAATTTTAATTAACTTGAATTTTATATAAAAAAGATTGATTGAGGTTTATGTAGAGATAATTTTGGTATTTTTGATAAATTTTTTTAATTAGAAATGGTGGTTTAATAGTAAGGGGTGTTAGTAATATTTAAATATAAATTAAAAAGAGTGAGACTGAAATTTTTCTGAAAAAATGAAAACAGATTATAACTTATAATTACCGGCCACGAATTGGGCCGTTAGTTTTAAGTGAAAATTGAATGTGAGTCTCTCTAGATGTACTTGTTTGGAGATAAGTCCTGCAAGGAAATTTATAAGGGGTTAAGTTTATGTTTAAAATTATATGTAATAACTTAAATCCATTTTTTTTTATTTCAAAAATACTCTTCTTTAAAAGAAAGTTAATCTTTTCTCTCTCATATCTATCTATATCTATGTATAGGTTAAGAGTTTGACTAACATTTAAATTTTTCCTCTTATATATATATATATATATATAGTAACATTAAAAAAAATAGTAACATTCAAATATAAAAAAAAAAGTTACTATAAATTTGAATAGTAAAATTCAAATTTTGTTGAGTATGTTATTGTTCATGTACTATTATTTTTGAGTATTCTAAATATTAATATTCAATGTTATTTTTTTTTTTTGAATATTACTATTTTTTGCGTTTGAATTTGAGAGAAACAATTATTGTTAAGTATGTTACAGTTTTTGTTAAGCATATTACTATTTTTGTTGAATATTTTAATATTTTTGTTGAACATGTTACTGTTGTTATTTTTTAAAAATATTAATATTGAATGTCTCAATTTTTTTTATGTTTAAATGTTATTATTTTTTTGTGTTTAAATGTATTATTTTTTGTGTCTAAATGATAATTATTTTTTATATTTAAATGTTACTATTTTTTATTTTTAATGTTATATATATATATATATAAATAAATAAATAAGAGAGAAGAAAAGTTTTAATATTAGTCAAATTTTTAATCTATATATGAATATAGACAGATATGAGAGAGAAAAAATTTTAATATTAGTTAAATTTTTAAGATTTAGGAGTTTTTAATTTTTAATTTTATTTCACTTCTAAAGGAAATGATAATCTGATAAAATTGATAAAAAAATAAACTTCGTAACAAATAAATTTATTTGACGAATTTAAGTTCAAACAAATTTATATAAAAGGATCGGCCTCCAAATTTTCATTGTTATAATTTATTTGGAGCCCATTACAAAATAGAAAGAATTCAAAATTTGCGGTTTCTCTCTCTCTCTCTGGGTTACTGTAACCAGCACCACCAGTACAGTACAGATTCCCTCCTCACGCACACATCCCGAAACGAACTCGCTTCCCAGATTCTATCTCTCTCTCTCTCCGCCTCTGACTCTGTTTTCGACTTAACTTTCCCAACGATCAATCTTTTCAAGGTGAGCCAAAATTCAGAAGGGTCTGAAACGGTGTGGTAAGTTAAAGTGGAGCTGAGAGATCAGTCACTTAAAGCTGAACTTCAACACCTACTCCATCTGTAAGCTGGTGGTGAGGTATGAGACTTTTCTTTCACTAGGGAAAATCTGCTGCCTTTCGATTCTTGAAAGCTAAACCAAGATTCGCTATCTTCTGAACTTTGCTGGATTCAAGCTCGCTAGCAATTGCAATACTGTTATTTTGTGTTACTCTGTTACCGTTTTGATGATTTCCTTCGATTCTGTGGGGTGTTTTCTGGCAGTAGAGTAAGTCTTCATAACTTTGACTCTTTTAATCTTTGTTTTGAGAGAGTTATAGAGCTGAATTTTCTGCCATTTGAACTATATTGTGGTTGTTGAACTAAAAACCCTAGCTTTCGTATTCATCTTTGGGGTTAAGCTTATGGAATGCATTGCGTGGTTCTATTTATTGTCTCGATTCAAATTTTTATGTTCTTCCGCTTTTTTTTTTTCCAGGACCATGAAACCCTGCAAACTTGGGGCTTACTAAAACCCTAACCGATTTGTTTATTGATATTGCATCGGAAAAAAGGGGTTCTTCTACACCAACGCTCTCAAGGCACTCTGAATCCACTTTGCTAATTGTTTTCTTTCGTTAACTAACTTCATTTGATGTTAGAATCACATTGATTCATCGTATATTAGATCTCTATATCAGATTTTGGTTGGGGTTACTTGGAATCATATAGTTAAGAAAATGGAATGTGTAGCTAAATCTTCCAAACCTCCTTCAAATATATCTGAAATAGCATCCAAATTCGCCAAAGTTTGTAGATTTAGGTCCATTGGTGTCTTCCCCTCTGAAAATCAACTGCCCCACCACCGCCCCCTATGTCCCAGCAATAGGAACAATGGACCACCATTGGCTGATGACTTCGGTGATGCTACTGAGGAGGGCCAATGTGATGGCGAGAAAGTCTATCCCAAATCAGTCGAGGTACAAACCAAAAGCAATGAATGTGGTCATGTCGAGATCTGCTTCTTGTTTGACACAGTTTCAGCTCTCAAATTGGCTTATGTTCAGCTTCAACAAGCTCATATTTCATATGACCTGGATGAAATCACAGCTGCTAATGAAGTCATTGTCTCTCAACTGGAAACATTGTGCAAGATTAAGCGTGCCTACAACAAAGAGAAGCAATTTGAAAAATCCAATTCAATTTCAGCTTGTTCAGCGCTTCTGCTAGCAGAAATTCAAGTTAGTGAGGGGCTGTTAGAGAAATTGAAGTCCCAAAAAAAAGTGAAGGAGGCTGAGGTAGCTAGTTTGCGACAAGAATTTCAGGATCTGGATTTGAAAAACAGAAAACTAGCCGAAGCGTTGAGACAGAGAGAAAAGGAGAATGATGGGGCCTTAATTGTGTCTTCCTTTCGTGACATTGTCGAAATAGCTTTAAAGGCCATTCATGACTTCTCAAAGCCATTAATTGCCCTAATGAAAGCTTCAGGTTGGGATCTAGACCAGACAGCAAATGCAATTGAAGACTCTGTTTTGTATTTGAAGAGGTCTCACAAGAAGTATGTGTTTGAAGCTTACATTGCCCGCAAAATGTTCTATGGGATCTCACTCCAACCTTACAATGTTCACAATATTGTGAGGTTTGATGAACCAATTGATGCTTTAATAGCAGAACCCAATTCTAGTTTTGCCAAGTTTTGCAGAACAAAGTATCTGTCGATAGTTCATCCAAAGATGGAAGTGTCATTCTTTGGGAATTTGGATCATAGAACGTTTGTATCTCATGGAAAGCATCCCAGAACACAGTTCTACCAAGCTTTTGTCAAAATGGCAAGATGGGTTTGGGTTCTACAGGGGACCACTTCAACTGAACCCAAAGCTGAAATGTTTGGAGTAAAGCGAGGAAGTGAATTCTCCGATGCTTATATGGAATACGTGGAGGAGTACAAGGAAGACATGGGGGTATATGATGAAGAGCAATCAAGATTCAGGGTTGAGTTTATGGTCACGCCCGGGTTTAAAATTGGAGAGACATTGGTAAAGTCTCGGGTTTATCTTTCAAAAATGAGATTTTCAAACAGTACATGCTAGGAGGCGGCCCTCTGGCAAACTGGTAATTCAGGAAAATCCAATCACTTTTTGGTTCTGAACATATGCAACGTTGCCCTTTAAGTGAAAGTTATTAGTGCAATTTTACCCTCATAGCTAGCATGGTATGAATCAAAGTTGTTTTTCTAATTTAATCTTTTGCAGATAGCTATGTTTGTAAGGGTGCAGCGATGGTGTCTGTTGCCTGCTAGATTGTAAATATATCTCTCGTTAATGATACCTTTATAACTATCGCATGGTGCTCATAAGTTCTTAGATGCAACTTGTTACCTTTATTTGTGGGATACAGGACACACAAATAGCTTGTTATTTGATTAGCTTCTGTTTGATTTGAGCGCAAGTCGTGTTCTTGCTGGCACAACCCAATCTTGTGTTTTCCTTATGATTTATGTTTGGTAATTCTGAAATTGGCACAGTAGTGTAACTTTTTCAGTTGTATATCAAATGGTCATCGTACAACAACATTAGTTCCCACAGGCAACTATTAGTAGCACCCAGTTGATGGCTGCCTTATGAGTATTCTACAACTGCATATATAGTGGAGTTTCTGTTTTGAACAAATGAACTTTATTCCTTCAATTATATCCTCACATTACAAAGGATTAACATAGAGAGAGCGAGAGAGAAAGAGAGAGAGATCTGCAGATGGAACTCATGGAAGGCTATTAGTAACGTGGTGATTTTGGACTCTCAATGTCTTCCTCGCTGCTATTGGAGAATAAATCCTTGCATAGTTCTCCATAGAACCTGCAGACCAAATTGATGAAAACTGGGCACTTCAGGTTCTTCCAGCAGTAGAGAAGCTCTTCTACATCCATCAAATTCTTTATCTTCCCTTCTTCCACGATCATCTCCACCAGATAGTTCTCGAAACTCCTGCATGCTTCTTCTACCTCATATTGACCTGACATTTCCTTCTTACCATCAACACCCAATCTTACATAAGCTGGGGTAAGAGGTGAGGGGTAGGGCACCTTGTGATGCCCTGCATCCGAAAAACCCTTGAGCTCCATGACTCTGTCCATCTCTCTTGATTGTTTTATGCAACACAAAATCGACAGTAGTCCAGTAAGACGAGTTTTTTCAGCCGTCTTTGTGGCTTGAGGTTTGCGCCGACAAAAATGAAGAGTACTTATAAAAACGGGTTTTTTGAATCTGAATTTTATGAGTTGAAATAATTTTTTGCATGGGTTGAAAAGCTTCTTGCGTTTGAAAGCAGTAAGACCTTTCACCTTCATCTTTAAATGATTACGGATGTGAGTGTTGGTTAAGGAATAGCGAAGAATAGTGACTTTTGATGTAAGTTGCTTTCAATCTCGTTGGAGAAGAGGATGGATGTTTGGGAAGTTTGTTTGAATGATTCTGTGTGTGTGTGTGTGAGAGAGAGAGAGAGAGAGAGAGAGAGAGNGGTGTTTGGGAAGTTTGTTTGAATGATTCTGTGTGTGTGTGTGTGTGAGAGAGAGAGAGAGATTGTAGATTTGTTGGTTGAATTTCTCTTTTCTAGCGGAGCCATCATAGTGCTTTTAAACATCTACCGAACTGGTGTGATTAGGTTCTAGTGGGTTTCACGTCTGGTCTGAAACAAGGTGGTACACCACGAAGTGAGTCTCCTCCTAGCTTGTGAAGGAAGGTCCTGATATGTTAGTTTATCCAACAACATTATTATATGTTATAGTTTGGTGAGAACTTGGGGAGTAATTTTAATTTGTTTTGAGTCGTGATTGAATCTAATTGAACCGTAACTTTTTCAATTATTTGAGTATCATGCTGAACTCAATACTGTATACTTTTTTGCTGAAGTTCTTATGTGAAATGCTTCAATTATTGTAACTATTTTGACTGACTGGTGGTAGGAGACAGTGATAGTTGTGGTGGGTGGCAAAAAACGTGGTGGCGGTGGTGACGGCGACGACGGTGGTAGTGGTGGTGGCGGCGACAACGACGACAGTGGNAAAACGTGGTGGCGGTGGTGACGGCGACGACGGTGGTAGTGGTGGTGATGGTGGTGGCGGCGACAACGACGACAGTGGTGGGGGGTGGCAGCGATGGTGGTAGTGGTGGTGGTGGTGGTAGAGGTAGTGGTAGAAAGATTTCAAATATTATATTTTTTTAAAGTATTTATAAAAAATAATTCTTAAAAGTACTTTTAAAAAGTCACTTCAAAAACACCTTTATCAACTTTTTTTCTTATTAAATTTAAAGTGTTAATATTAGTCGTTATATTAATTTTAAAATAAAAGTTAAAGCAATTTGAACTGCGAAAAACAAAAATTATTTTATTTATTTTTGAATTTAAATTATAAATTACTTTATTATATAAATATTAGTATCCTTCTACCCGTACCTCTAACAACAGCCCAAAATTGCTGGCCCACCTCTAGCACCTTGGAACCATAATATTGATTTCACCACCAAATCATCCCCCATACCAAATCATATCAAAAAATTTTGATATTGAATCTGTCTGTGTACAGAAATCTCTTTTATGGGCCTTAAGCACATCAACTGTGCGGAGGATGGTCGATATACGAATTCTTCAAGGCCCAATGTATAAGATTTATGCCCACCTGACCTCAAAATTAGGGCCTTATCCAATTAGAGAACTCTCTCTCTCTTCAAAATATGTGAGGTCAACACCAAAGGTACTTCAAGTGTTAGAATAAACGAGTTGAAATTTCAGACGTTCTGAGTCCGACATAGATGATATGCCTTTGACATGACTAAAGAAAAAATTAGTCAAAATGTGCATAAATTAGTTTAGACATATCTCACTGTTGAACTAAAAAATAAAAATATTTTTGGTCGGCCTAGTGGGAGTCTAAAACAAAATGGTTAACAGAACAGGAGACCCAACTCTCAAAACATAGTCTCCAATGTTTGGAGTGAATTCCCTGCAATATATTTTCGTTCCATTTTCTTTTTTGGCTGATCAGTTGCTGTGAATTCAAGTCAAGTTCATTGTATATAAGTAGATCTCATTCATTAACGACAGACGATCTACAAGAATGAAAATGGAGGAGTTTTAACTAGTTTTCAACAACTAGTTTGGGATTTTAACTAGTTTTCAACAACTAGTTTGGGATTTTTTTTTAAAGAGAGATTTATATATTACAATCAAGAGGATCAGTCTCTTTCAAGCATGCAGTTAATCAGACCACAAATTTTATTTCTATTTACACCTTGCAACTATCAGTGAACTCCATATTACACCACCTCACTAACATACAAATTCAAGAAAATTTAAAGTCTTCTGCCTCTATGTCCTTGCCTCTTACCAACACTTCTTGTTCTCAAATAAGGAGCACCATCCACTGGCCGTGGCATCTTGCTGGAAGCCCCACCACCAGGTTCCTGAAATCCTATGTTTTCCACAGCACCCACTGTCTTAAACAACCTTCGCTTGCTCACTTCCTCCACCAATGACCGATGCAGCAGCTGGCTACGCATATCTACAAGGGATCGGTTCCTTGTTAATTTAGGCCTGCTCATTGTGCTTTTGTCTTTAGAAGTAGAATCTCCTTGTGACTCTGGAATAGTCCTGCCTTGGTTAAACCAATTTCCAGAGATGGACTGCCCGGTGCTTGAATTCTCTCCAGGGCAGAATCTGGTAGAGTTGTAGGTGTTTGCAACAGGGTGCTTATTCTGTTTTCCTGAGTTTATTATGGGTTCAGGATCATCACCAGAACAATAATTCAAGTTGGAATATTTCCCAGAGTGTAAAGAACTCTGAGAGCTGCTGTCATCAAACAAGTCATCTGCAATAACAGATGTTGCCCATCATATTGTTTTGTTAAATTGGTACAAGTAGTGCTTATTCAATGGACACAAACAGAACGAAGAGCAAAAGAAACCACAATTTCTTTATTGGCTTCACAGTGTCCATGTCCACTATGAAGGTTAAAAATAATCCACTCTCAGTATGTTGCTATAATATATCACATCTCCACTTCTTCTAAACCCAAACATGTTTGTTTGTTTTCAATAGTCCTATCATTTAATGCTTTTCTGCATTTTGCTTAATGTTGCTTTTCATCAGTATAAAACTAGTGATGAAATTGACCTGGAGCATAACACGCCGGTTATACATAGTAGTATATATAAAGTAATAATAATCATACCTCCGAGCCAATCACAATCATGACTCCTTTCATCTGTTCCATGAGAAGTGATCAGGCCTGAGAGCGAAACTGGAGATGAAGAAGAAGGCGAGAAAGAGTAGAAAAGGTGGCGATGATCATCATCATCTTCAAGTATATGGCAGTGAGGTGGTTGGGGATGGACCCATTTCCTCCAATGTGGTACTAGCCCGGATATCTCTCCATCAATCATATCCGCAATTTCAGATGGTTCCCAGTCAGTAATCTCTAATTCCTTCACCATCTCATTTGCAACTTCGAGGGGTGAATCACTTACAAAGTCAAAGGGAAAAAATATATTCCTTACGGGACCTGCAAGAAGCACAATGTGGAAAACTTAACCACATGAACCTCTCTTAAGGCTGACTTGGACTAGATTGCCACTTTTTGGATTTTCGGCTTCCCAATTCTTTGGTTATCTACTAGGGCGGGCTTAGGCCTACAAAGAGGAGCCTGATCTCTATGAATGGCTAAAACCTCTTTCTGTAATTTTTTTAATCCTTTCATTTTGTTACACTCAATAAAGGAAAATACATAAAAATATGACTCCTTACACTTTTTTTCATGGCATTTCTGAAGAATCCCAAATATAGAAGATCTGCAGCATGTCATCATTAAAGAAGGGGTTTTAAGTTCATACCTTCTTTATCTGCAATCNTCTCGCAACTATCAGTGAACTCCATATTACACCACCTCACTAACATACAAATTCAAGAAAATTTAAAGTCTTCTGCCTCTATGTCCTTGCCTCTTACCAACACTTCTTGTTCTCAAATAAGAAGCACCATCCACTGGCCGTGGCATCTTGCTGGAAGCCCCACCACCAGGTTCCTGAAATCCTATGTTTTCCACAGCACCCACTGTCTTAAACAACCTTCGCTTGCTCACTTCCTCCACCAATGACCGATGCAGCAGCTGGCTACGCATATCNATCACTTCTTGTTCTCAAATAAGGAGCACCATCCACTGGCCGTGGCATCTTGCTGGAAGCCCCACCAGGTTCCTGAAATCCTATGTTTTCCACAGCACCCACTGTCTTAAACAACCTTCGCTTGCTCACTTCCTCCACCAATGACCGATGCAGCAGCTGGCTACGCATATCTACAAGGGATCGGTTCCTTGTTAATTTAGGCCTGCTCATTGTGCTTTTGTCTTTAGAAGTAGAATCTCCTTGTGACTCTGGAATAGTCCTGCCTTGGTTAAACCAATTTCCAGAGATGGACTGCCCGGTGCTTGAATTCTCTCCAGGGCAGAATCTGGTAGAGTTGTAGGTGTTTGCAACAGGGTGCTTATTCTGTTTTCCTGAGTTTATTATGGGTTCAGGATCATCACCAGAACAATAATTCAAGTTGGAATATTTCCCAGAGTGTAAAGAACTCTGAGAGCTGCTGTCATCAAACAAGTCATCTGCAATAACAGATGTTGCCCATCATATTGTTTTGTTAAATTGGTACAAGTAGTGCTTATTCAATGGACACAAACAGAACGAAGAGCAAAAGAAACCACAATTTCTTTATTGGCTTCACAGTGTCCATGTCCACTATGAAGGTTAAAAATAATCCACTCTCAGTATGTTGCTATAATATATCACATCTCCACTTCTTCTAAACCCAAACATGTTTGTTTGTTTTCAATAGTCCTATCATTTAATGCTTTTCTGCATTTTGCTTAATGTTGCTTTTCATCAGTATAAAACTAGTGATGAAATTGACCTGGAGCATAACACGCCGGTTATATATAGTAGTATATATAAAGTAATAATAATCATACCTCCGAGCCAATCACAATCATGACTCCTTTCATCTGTTCCATGAGAAGTGATCAGGCCTGAGAGCGAAACTGGAGATGAAGAAGAAGGCGAGAAAGAGTAGAAAAGGTGGCGATGATCATCATCATCTTCAAGTATATGGCAGTGAGGTGGTTGGGGATGGACCCATTTCCTCCAATGTGGTACTAGCCCGGATATCTCTCCATCAATCATATCCGCAATTTCAGATGGTTCCCAGTCAGTAATCTCTAATTCCTTCACCATCTCATTTGCAACTTCGAGGGGTGAATCACTTACAAAGTCAAAGGGAAAAAATATATTCCTTACGGGACCTGCAAGAAGCACAATGTGGAAAACTTAACCACATGAACCTCTCTTAAGGCTGACTTGGACTAGATTGCCACTTTTTGGATTTTCGGCTTCCCAATTCTTTGGTTATCTACTAGGGCGGGCTTAGGCCTACAAAGAGGAGCCTGATCTCTATGAATGGCTAAAACCTCTTTCTGTAATTTTTTTAATCCTTTCATTTTGTTACACTCAATAAAGGAAAATACATAAAAATATGACTCCTTACACTTTTTTTCATGGCATTTCTGAAGAATCCCAAATATAGAAGATCTGCAGCATGTCATCATTAAAGAAGGGGTTTTAAGTTCATACCTTCTTTATCTGCAATCTGCACTTTAAGAAAGATTGTGTCATCTTCAGGATTCAACTTTCCTGTTATAGTCATGTTGGTCCTTGGTGGATCCTCATTCAGTCGCAGTTCCTCAATTCCTAAGTTATCGTTCAAGAATGGCTTCTGCTGTCCCATCGTTGTTACAGGCTCATACTCATCAAGTGCAAGAAATGGATCGACCATTAGTTCTTTTGCTGATAATCTCTTTGAAGCAGGTTCTAAGCATTTTCCTATGAACCTCTGTGCTTCCAAGTCTTGAACTTTGTAGAATGCCCTTGGCCGCTTACCCTGAATGACGAAAGCATGCAGGTCAGTTTCTGAAGGATTCGTACTTATTTGTTGCACAATTGGTGTGTGACCTTACCAATGTCACTTTCTTGTATATCTGTGCTGGGTTGGCACACTCACTGTATGGATATTCAGAAGTAAGCATCTCCAACACACACATGCCAAATGAGTATACATCAACCAGTTCGTTGTAGTTTTCTTCATACAACTCTGGCGCCATGAACTCTGGTGTGCCTATCTCCATGGACAAGAAATTAGAAACAATTAGGGAAGGAAACATGAATAAATTGGTGGTGTTGTCTTTGCTTTAAGCTATCAAATGATTTAAGAGGAATTTTTCCTAATGCAGAAAAATTAGGAGTACAATATCTTATATCTCGGGAAGGGGCCTATTGATGGTATGATAAGAAGCTAGGCCACAGAGATTTGAGCTAGGCATATTCTGTAAGGGCTAAGTATGGATTTTTTCATCTTGATTAACCAAGGACATGACTGAAAAAGTAGGAGTGAATTGAGTACTGTGATAGTACCTATTCCACACTATACAGAAATATCATCTGAGTGTGATCCGATTCTGATCAAAGTATTAACCTTGGCATATGCTTGGTGATCCGATTAATGATTTAATTGCTCACTTAGGCTCCCTTGCAGTGTTTGTATTTGCTAGAATCACAGTGGCAATTACATGAAGTTAGGTAATAGTCCCATGGCATGTATTTTTTCTAATGCATTACATAAATTAATCTCTCCCTTTCTAGTCCATTGATAGGACTGAAAAGCTCAAGATATGTATGTACCTATAATACTGTGAGCTGTGTGAGACCCACAAAGAATTGCTGCCAGCCCTAGATCACCAATCTTCACTTGCCCAAGGTGGCCATTGACGAAGATATTATCACACTTAAGGTCTCTGTGGATTACCGGAGGATCATGACCATGCAGATAAACAAGGCCTTCCAGGATTTGCCGAGCCCAAATCTTAATGGCTCGGATGTCCACACTGTTGTATTTCTTCCTGTATCTGCATTACAAGTTAGTTGTTTTAATTGTATAATCAAATTACGAACTGATTGAAACATAAAGTTTGTCTTCATCAGCAGAGCATATTAAAACCAATTNCTCTGGCGCCATGAACTCTGGTGTGCCTATCTCCATGGACAAGAAATTAGAAACAATTAGGGAAGGAAACATGAATAAATTGGTGGTGTTGTCTTTGCTTTAAGCTATCAAATGATTTAAGAGGAATTTTTCCCAATGCAGAAAAATTAGGAGTACAATATCTTATATCTCGGGAAGGGGCCTATTGATGGTATGATAAGAAGCTAGGCCACAGAGATTTGAGCTAGGCATATTCTGTAAGGGCTAAGTATGGATTTTTTCATCTTGATTAACCAAGGACATGACTGAAAAAGTAGGAGTGAATTGAGTACTGTGATAGTACCTATTCCACACTATACAGAAATATCATCTGAGTGTGATCCGATTCTGATCAAAGTATTAACCTAGGCATATGCTTGGTGATCCGATTAATGATTTAATTGCTCACTTAGGCTCCCTTGCAGTGTTTGTATTTGCTAGAACCACAGTGGCAATTACATGAAGTTAGGTAATAGTCCCATGGCATGTATTTTTTCTAATGCATTACATAAATTAATCTCTCCCTTTCTAGTCCATTGATAGGACTGAAAAGCTCAAGATATGTATGTACCTATAATACTGTGAGCTGTGTGAGACCCACAAAGAATTGCTGCCAGCCCTAGATCACCAATCTTCACTTGCCCAAGGTGGCCATTGACGAAGATATTATCACACTTAAGGTCTCTGTGGATTACCGGAGGATCATGGCCATGCAGATAAACAAGGCCTTCCAGGATTTGCCGAGCCCAAATCTTAATGGCTCGGATGTCCACACTGTTGTATTTCTTCCTGTATCTGCATTACAAGTTAGTTGTTTTAATTGTATAATCAAATTACGAACTGATTGAAACATAAAGTTTGTCTTCATCAGCAGAGCATATTAAAACCAATTTGCTCGCTGCTTCCTCAACAAATTGGAGAGTTCTTATAACATTATTTTATGAAGCTTTCTAGGATGACATGGAAGCACTAAGTTACCGTCAATCATTTAATCGTGAATAATCTGTATATGTTAATGTTGATTGTAACTTGAAACTTTATCCATCATCACTTACTCCGAAAAAGAAAACTCTATTCATCATTTCTGTCCTCATCGTCATTTTTTAACAAGATTGTCTTCCTATATGAATCCAGCAATAATACTTTTGAATCACTTTCTTCATTTGTTTATTTTTTTTTTTTTTTTGGAATCTTGCTTGTCTGCTTTTCCTTGATGAAAACAATTGTTCTTAGTTGGTGGTCCATGGAGGCTAACAACATTATAGTCCTAATTTTCCCCACTTATTTTTGAGAGAGAAAAAACTTGAGATGATTAATAATTGTAAAGTTTGAACCTTTAAATCCTGAAGGTGCATGTATAAAATCAAAGAGTGGAAGGACCTTACTCTCTCAGGGTGCCGGAAGTGAACATTTCAGTAATAAAATTGAAGGTTCTCTGATCAACATCGATCCAAGAGGTGTAGAACCGGATGATCAAGTCATGATTGAGGGTGCTGAGCAGGTGAACCTCGGAATACAGCCGCTGTAAGTCCTCCGGTGACTGGAGCACGTCATGGAGTTTTACCTGATTCCATGCCACTTCCATTCCAAGGACCTCATCAATTGCCTTGTACACAGTTTTCATTGCCCCTTTTCCAAGAACTTCCTCAAACTGTCCACAATACACAAATTGCTTACAGATTATTTGCGTAACAATCTCAAGTAAACACCCAACTAGCCACTTAATAAATTAACATAACAATAAATTAAAGTTGGATTCTTGTACTAGTTGCCCATTAAAATTTATAGATGGGATTCTAAAACCAAAGAAAAAAAACCCAAATTAAAGGAAATCTTGGCACTAAACGAATCATTTTCTTGCTACAGAGTAACCTATTTCAGAGCAGTCTGGTGATTAGCCTATCCCGCCCATATGTAAATAAGTCCATCCTAGTAATTTTCATGGAATATGTGGAAAAGTTCTCAATGGTTGCCATAAGTTCATGGGAAAACCACCCACAGTTTGAAACCTGCATGAACTGCACTCCTGAATCATTTGAATAATCCAGACCAGCATGAAAATATTTGAGGAAAGAGAAACAACAGAACAAATTGAATGTTCTAATACAAGTGCTCAAGAATTAGCTCTAACGACTTTCTTAAAAGTTTTATGAATTAATTAAACAGATTAAAATATAACAATCAGTGATTCAATCACCCCATGGATATCAAAATAAGTAAAATGAATTAAAAAAAAACGTATGGTAATATGTACTACGCAGAACTTACACGACCATAACGACCTGTTGGGTCGGTTTCAGCATATCCATGATCATCCATTTCTTCATCGGTGCGCTCTCTCAACCTTCCTCTGTACATGATTGAGCCTCGAGCTACGAACAACCTCGTCACGGGTAAATCTGGAACTGATTTGAAATAAAGTATAATTTAAATTATAGTATTAGTTACGTATTTAAGTTTGTGAGTAGAATAAGAAGAAGAAGCCTCTAAATCCGAGGCTTTCCCTCATGATTTTCGTAAGAGAAGACACCAAAGAGAATCCAAAAGAGGCGTGAGTAGTCAATCCTTAGCATAATCCAACAAGCCATTTCCACAACAGCGTGTGAGAAGTCGTAGTTCTTCGCAAACATTTGACTGAGAAGTGATAAGAGTAGGATTTGACAGCACAATGAGAATGAAAGGTAGGTATAAGAATGGGAGAGGATCTTGAATTTTCTTGGAAAAGTACGTTTTCCTGGAAATTTGGATTTTTCTGAGGATTTTTTTTTGAAAGTTTTTTTTGGTGGTAGGCGGGGAGAATAATGGAAAGTGAATTTAAGGAAGATTGGAGAACACAACTTGTGGCAGCGATGGAGACCTGAACTTGAAGAATCTGTGGATACGCTTTGCTAGTTCCATTTGTGGCTGTGAGAAGAAGCAAAGAGAGACTTTTAGAGAGAGAAAGTGGAGGATCTGAGACAAAAGTTGATAGGGGATGTAAACTCGATAGAGACGAGAGCTGTGAATGGGTGAGGTGGTGGCCGGGGTGGAGGTCGTGGGTTCATATGGGGAAGGGCAAACTTCGCTTTACCCCCTCATAATTTAGTTCATTTGCACATCACCACTTTGAAGTTCAAAAATAACACATAACTGCCTATAATTGTTGGACTAAAATACACACTTAACGTTGTTAATGATCATCACATNCACTTTGAAGTTCAAAAATAACACATAACTGCCTATAATTGTTGGACTAAAATACACACTTAACGTTGTTAATGATCATCACATTACTCTAATTTTTAATAAAAAAAGTAACCCCAAATTTATTCCGACAGTTTGCCGTTTAAAACTAAATAGATAAATTATAACTACATTCTCTCTTATTTGTCACATAATTATTTGAATCCTCTCATATTTAAAATATTACTCTCACATTTGTTGATAGTTGTANAACTACATTCTCTCTTATTTGTCACATAATTATTTGAATCCTCTCATATTTAAAATATTACTCTCACATTTGTTGATAGTTGTACATATATAACACATAACTCCTTATCATTGATATTTGTTAACATAACCATTGAAAAATATGATTTTATCATAATAAATAATTATAATTTTATACTAATTTTTATTTTATGGGCTCGTTCGTTATACTCTAGATTTCAAAATCTAGTTTACTATTAGAATGTCTAATATAATATAGGTATTTATATAATATTTTTTATATCGAATTTAATACATCCCTTAAACATAATTATTTAAATATCCAATCAGAAGAATATTTTTAGTCATATTTGAATTTTCAACGGATGTAGGTGTAATGTTTCAAATATAAATGATCTAAGTGATTAAGTGACAAGCACGAGAGAGTTTAGGTGTAATTTATCCATTTAGTTATAGGCGACAGACGTACGGTTATTAGCTTAAGGTGTGCATTGATACAAATTTTTATATTTAAGGGTACAAATTAAAAATTTTAATCTTTAAAATATAAATTAAAATTCAAACAATTTTTTAAAATATAATTTGAGATTAACCCTCAACCTTACTATTTTCATGTCTATTGAGAACAACCACATTCAATCATTAATGTAAATGATTAATGGGGTAAACTTACATTCAATCATTCTAATTTTTTAATTAGATAGTAACATTTATCGGAGATAACAAGATGTCATTGTTGCGAAGGATATTTTCTCAAGAAAATGGATGGAAATCTGTGTAAAACATGATAAAGTTGGAAGTCAGACTATTTGGCTGCGTCTGATTTTTGTCGTCTTGTGTTAATATCCGTTCAATTGCTCTAAAATTTGCTAGGATGGATGCACATATGTTCTGATTGGTAGATAATTTTCAGGGGATTGTTTATAAAAAATTCAAATATTTTGTTTTAGAACTTTTTGAATAAAAAAAAAAGTAATGATTTAACACACAGTACAAAAAACTAATAAAATTTGATTTTTTTGCTAATTCAATCGAAAACACTTCAATTATAGGGAGACTGAAGAAAGATTGCAATATTAATTACCTCCTAAAACAAATTTAACATAATTCTTAAAAATACGTGATTGTGGGTCTTGTGAGAGTAAATATTGAGTGCAACAATCCAATAAGAAATGAGCAAAAAGGATAAAATAGGACCCACTTACTATCATTGATGTAATTATGTATTACATGGTTTAGTGTTTATAAGTTTTAGTGGGGTTCATTTACTGACTTATTTACTTATTAGTGGACAATTACATCACATGACATTGCTACTATAGTGTAACGGTTACATCTAATATTTTTTTGTCTTGAGAGGATTTGAGTGTATCCTCTATCTTTTCCACTATGTATTATTTTATAGTCATTGACTTCGACGATTTTGCTTTCATTGACGGTTACTAGTTAATAACATTCAATTAGTTATTTTCTTCCTTTTTAAATACAACTATAACTGATCATCTCATGTCTTTCTTTAAATTCTGTCACGTGTCAAGTATCGACACATTGAATATCCTTGAGATTAGATATTTCACATCTAAACACATACATAATCGAGTTTGTATTGTGTTACCTTCCTATCCAATTCAACCGAATTCGTATCAAGTTATTTATTTGATAGTTCTAGTGAATACAAAAATTGCCAGTGAAAGATCATCCAGTTGGTGATGCCAAGTTTTGAATTTTCTTTTTGATGAATTGATGTGGCTCAACCAGCCTTATCTACCTTTGCATGGCCAAGCAGGTTGAGGATCCAAGTTTTATTTATTAGTACGTGAAGCAAGCGAGTTTGCCCTTCACAGCTCTGTCCAAATGCAAGACACACGGTATTAAATGAGATGAGACTAACAGAACCACCAAAACGACGCCACCTTATTTGATCTCTTCTCTCTCCAAAGTCATTAGTTGTTAATGATATGTATGATTGAAATACTAAATAATGTTTCCTCCTAGTCCTAGGTTCAGGTTCTATATATAACTAAGTACTTTCTAAGGAGCATTGGACTTTAATTAATGATTTTATACATGCTCTATATTTTAATTGAGCAATAATAGTTGGGTCTAACCTCCAAACTCTATTTCGAAAGCATGTNATTAATGATTTTATACATGCTCTATATTTTAATTGAGCAATAATAGTTGGGTCTAACATCCAAACTCTATTTCGACAGCATGCNTATATATAACTAAGTACTTTCTAAGGAGCATTGGACTTTAATTAATGATTTTATACATGCTCTATATTTTAATTGAGCAATAATAGTTGGGTCTAACCTCCAAACTCTATTTCGAAAGCATGTTGGTTCAAGTTTTGAAAACTCACCATAAGAGTAGGTAAGAGGCTATACCTGTTTCTAGTGTAGATAGATCCACTTAATATATCATGTTGACGGTGTCATAGGCGGGATAGGTTGAGAAAATCACAAAAAATAAAAACAAAAAAGTACAGTTTATACAAATAATTATAGACGTAAATATACGCATATGTAAAAACACCTTAGTAGTGAAATAATTTCTTGTGTGCAAGAGATATAAACGTTTTCCCAGGTGTTTTAATCATTAAAAGTTTAAACTTATGTAAGCAAAAAATAACATTATCATACCCTAACACAATTAGAACGTAATTCATTATAGTTTTATTGCATACAAAAATTTACAGGGAGATAAACCGTAACTACCTAGTATTAAACTTTTGTTGTAAGAATTGAAAAACTCCACTGGATTGAGACCGCCCACCTGATTTTTCATTAGAGGAAAAAACAAAGGTGCGTGAGAATTGACTAAAACTAGTGGCTCTCACTTCTTTGTATTTTGTCACAATTGTCCGCATTGCCTAATGTACAAGAAGAGTCGGCCCCTACCACCACTTACTTTACTCTTATCCTCTCTTCTTCAAACCTTCTGCACATAAAAAAAAATAAGGGAGAATTACATCAAAATTTTTAAAATTTATCACTTAATCAAAATTTTTAAAATTTTAAAATTTTTAAAATTTATCTCTGAAATACAAAATATTATATATAAATCTCTTGAGATTTGTACGTTTGTAACCTTTAGATCTCTACCGTCAATGTCCATTAATATATAAATTAATAAATTACACTCAGATCTGACATATGATAATGTTCTTAATACGATTGAGCAGTGATGTGAATATAAAGTATATTGAACAGTTGAATTTGGTTCAGCCTGAACGCCAAGGCTCTTGGGAATAGGATTTGTGCTTACAATGGTTCGTCAGTTCGGAAGCTCGGCTAATCCACTTTCAAGGGAGTCTCTTGCTCTTGAATATATTGATTACTTGTAAAGTTTACATAAAGTATTTTGATGAGACTTCAATGACTTCTTGTTATTTTCGAGGACTTTACCTCCTATTTATAGTTATTTCTAAGTCTAGCTTGATCTGAGGCGAGATCCTTGCCCCTCTCTTGTAACGGTCGCCTTTATTATGCACGAGACTTGTGTCTACTTAGTAATTGTTGCTACAAATGGGGTACTTGGTGGGATCCAGCTGTCCTCTGCACAGCCTTCTTTGAGATGTGGACACAGGGAATTGAGGTCTATAGTCGTGGTCTGCAAATAACATAAAATAGTTGAGCTCTTGACTTGAGTTACTCAACCTTACGTATTTTCGTGGTACCATCAGCATATATTACTTAGACCTCTCAAGTTTAACATATTATATTTAGATCAAAAATATTCTAATTAAAGATAGAATATCAAAAATTTTATCACCAAAATTTATATTATATTATATCATTTATTGAAAAAAAATTAAAAATAAAAATTTAATTTTTTCTTAGAAAATCATAACTAGTAAACAATTATACTATTTATTAAAAAAAATTTAAAAAATTAAACAAGGGGTCTAAGTCCTTCACAATATAATATGAATTTTATAGCAAAAACTCATGTTCTATTATGTCATTTATTAAAATAAAATAAAAATAAAAATATATTCTTAAAAAATCATAATTAGTATACAATTATACTATCTATTGAAATAATACTAAAATATAAAATAAGGGGTCAAACTGTAATAGATACAATATTTTCTAACTTTAATTGGAATAATTTGATAGTTTAATTTGGTCGTTTAAATGACTAAATTAAATTCCAATAGATAGTATAATTGTATATTAATTGTAATTTTTCAAGAAAAAATTAAATTTTTATTTTTATTTTATTTCAATAAATGTCCTAATAGAATATAAATTTTAGTTGTAAAATTTAAAATATTTGATATTATATCTTTGATTGAAGTATTTTTGATCTAAGGATAACATCTTAAACTTGAAGATCTAAGTATTACACACTTACAAACTTCAGAGAGTTTAGATATAATTTATTAACAAATATACTAACAACCATTGGGGGCAGTTATCTAAATGTTACGTGCGTACATATTTTATGAGATTTGTATGTAATATTTCAAATATCATAGAGTATGAGTGATTAAGCGATAAATTTCAGGGAATATGAGTAAAATTCTCCCAAAAAATAATGTGGCTC